AAGAAGAAATAAAATTAAAAGAATTAGTAAATTTATTTATTGAGTAAATATATAAATAAATTTAATTATATATATAATTAAATAAAAATATATAAAAAAAAAAAATATATATATAAATAAATATTAAAATATTTATAAATTCTATATTATATATATATATATATATATTTTTTTATAAAAATTTATTTAATTCTATATAATTAACTATAATATTAAATAGAAAACCATTTTTATTAACATAAAATAATTCTTTATTTTTTGCACGATTTTTAATAGAAGACAGTATATAATAAAATCAATAAAATGCAGATTTAAATTTAAAGAAAAAAAAACAATCTATTTTAGAAAAATTTAATAAAGTATTATAAAATTACATAGTGTACTCTAAAATTTAAGCTTAAAAATTATATAATGATTTGTTAAAAGTAATTAATGAATATTTATATAAATATAAATATAAATATATAAATAATTAATATAAATATATAAATAATTAATATATATATAAATATATATTAAAAAAAATAAAAATATATATATATATTATATACATATATATATATTATTATTTATTTTATTATTTACTTTTATAATTATAATTATTTTAAATATTAATAGATATTCTAATAAAATTTAGAAAATATCGTTTCTGCTATCCATATAAAATGCAATTAAAAAAAAACAATTTCTAAAAATTAACTTATTGAAGCATTTTAATTTATAAATATACCTTTATAAGAAGATTAAATAAATTTTTTAATAATGACAGTTATTTTGGATTCGGAAGATATAAATCATTTAAATTATAACAAATTTATTGATTTTTTTTCTTAAAATATATTAGAAGAAAGTAGTAATAATAGTAATATATAAATAAAATAAAGAAGATAATAATTTTTTAGTAAATTAAAATAATAAAAATAAATTTGATGATAAAGAAGATCTATAATATGGTAATAAAAAATAATTATAAATATATATTTTATTTAAACTATATATATAGATGACAATTTGGAAAATATAAATTAACAAAATGAATAGATAGATAATTATAATTAATATGAAGTTAATGAAGAAGAATTTAATGAATAAACTTAATAAGAATATTATTAAACTGAATAAAGTTTATATTTATATATATATATATTTATATATTTATATATTTATATATTTTTTTTAATTTACAATTATATTTTTTCTTTATTTTATATATAGTTATAAAAGAAGAAGAATAATTATATGATGATAATTAAGATATTTAAGAAAATGATTAATATAAAAATATTATAGAAGAAGTAAACATTTAAATATAAATAATAATAAAAATAATTAAAGGATGAATATAAAGATGATTTTTCTTAATATGAATATATATCTGATGATTGAAGACAAAATAAAGCAAAACAAAAATAAGATAAATAAATTTAAATAAAAATATAAATAAAAAAGATAGAAAACATACATAAAAAATCATATATATTGAATATCTTTTTAATTTATAAATCTTTTTTAAAAAGCTAAATAATATTCTATTAAAAAAATACATTATTTTCATCAAGCAACTGTATATTTTTGACCTTTTTGTTTTGCAATTCCTGCAGCCTTTCTCTTTAATAAATCTTCTCTGCATTTATCTAATTTAATTTTGGTAATAACTAATTATGATGCAGATAAGGGAATTTAATAAGGGGCACCTATATTTATTATTATTATTATTTATTATTATATTTTTAATTTATTTTTTACCATTTAATTTGTTTTTGGATATTTTTTCAACATGAACTGCCCATTTTTTTCTGTAAACTTAGGTTACTTTTCCTTTATTACCTTTGAATTTACCTTTTTTTATTTATATAAAGAGTTTTTATAAGTAATTTTGGGTTTATTTATTACCTCTAACTATAACAACTTCGTCATCTTTTCTAATTGGAAGTGATCTTACATTGTATTTTTTTTTAAATCTGCAGATAAATGAGAGGACATTAATTATTATCTTAAATGAGAAGGAGATGCAAAATGAGCTTTTCTTTGTTTTCTTCTTGATGATGTAACTTCTGTTTTTATTTAAATTTAGAATTTTATTTCTTTATTTTTTGAAAAAACAAAAAATATTACCAACGTGAGTTTTCATTTTTTAGATTTAATTTTTTTTTTTTTGTTAATATTTTTACTTTTACTTTTATTTTTTTATTCTTTTTTTTTAATTTTTTTTCTTTTCTTTATTTTTTATAATAAAATATAGCCAATTTTAATTTTAACTTTTTATTTAATTATACATTTTTTTTTTTTTTTTAAATTGAAACTTAAAAATTTAAAATTTTAATTGTCAAATTATTATATTTATGGGAAATTAATTATATTTTAAAATAAATTATTTAAACTTATATATAAATAATTTATAGTAAAGAATAATAAAATTAAATTTATTATAATTTAATAATATTTGTAGATTAATATATTAAATAATTATTTTAATTTTTAAAAGCTATTTTATATTTATTTTTTTCATTTTATTATTTATATTTTATTTTATGAAGTATCGTTTTTAAATAATTTTTTATAGTAATAATAAAAACAATATATAAATATCACACTAATAAAAAGTAAATAATACTGAAAAAATAATTTAAATAAAAATGTTAATGGATATTTTTAAAAATGATATATATAGTTTTATATAAGAACAAAGCAAATAAGTACAAATAAATAAATAAGAATGTTAATTAATGGGCAAATTCGGTATTATTATTGAATGAATATAAAAATAAATAAAAAAAATTATAATGATTTAAATATATTTAAAATAAAAAATATAAAGGTATATGTGTTTAAATAGCATTAGGAATGTTTTGCTTTTCATTTCTTTTTTGTAATTTTTTTAAATAGTTGTAATTTATAATAATAAAAGTAAAATAACTTGATAAAACAAAAAGAAGATAATGGAAAATATGGTTAATGGTAAAAATAAAATATTTAAAATAATTATAATAAAAAAAATATAAATAAATATATGTAAATATATATATATATATATATATATATATATAAATATTTATATACATTATATATATTTATTATTTATATTCCAACATTTATATATATTTTTAGGATGTTTCTAAATAAGCTATTGGATCTATTTATGGTCATTTATTTAATCTTATTTTTGCTTCTTAAATGACTTAATTAATATAAAATTAAAACATAAGTTCTTGTAATTGGTTGATTATTTATTTTTTCTTTTTCTTCTAAATATTTTTAATTGCTTTTTATTATTTATATTAAATATATTTATTCTTATATTTTATTTCTAATTTTGTTATTTTAGGTATTTAGTAAATTCAATATAAGATTTTTGTCTTGGAATTGCTTTAAATTATATGATAGTTACATATATTAAAAATTTAAATAGGAAATTAAAGTTTTAATGCTTTAATTTTGGTGAATATAAGCAAGGAACTTCAATAATAAAATAATACATCCCTTAATTATTAATTTGGATCATATTAATAACATTAGTAAAAAAATAATAAAAAATTACATATTTATTAAAAAAAAAAATATTTTTAATTTAAAAAAAAGACTAAAAGCATTCTTTATTTAAACATTTTTATTTTTAATGATTTTTTTTAAAGAATTAGTATTTTTTTTAAAATATTTTTAAAATTTTAGTTTTTTTTTTTACTTGATAAATAGGTGAATTAATTCTTTTCTAATTATAAGATTATCCACATGTAGAATTAATTGTAATTATAATTGTACTTCCATCTTTGTTTAATTCAATAGGATTTTGGATTTAAGATAATTTTTTAAGCAAGGATATAGATAAAAGCAAATATATATAAGAATAAGGTAAAAAAAAACAAATATATAAATATTTTTTAAAAAAATAAAATAATAAATTAAAATATAAATAAATACTATACATATATAATTAAATATTTTAAAAATTTATATTTAATTATATTATATATATTATATATATATATTATATATATATTATATATATTTATTATAAAAAAATTCTTATATAACTATTTTATTAAAAAAATTATTTTAAACAAATGTATTATTTTTATTTTTATTTTACGATAGTTTTTTAATTTAATTTTAATAAAAATATTATATATTTATTTATTAATATTTATATATATATTTTTATTATTTATTTATTTATTTAACATATACAATTATAAATATTATTTAATAGTTAAAAATGAAGATTGTGAGTCGTTATTATAATAAGATTAGAATTGATTTAAAAATAAAATTATAAATTTTAATAAATATATATTTTTAAAAATGCATATAATAATAATATTTATTTTAAAAATCATTTTCTTAATCTCTTGAAAAATTTATATTTTTCAAAAAATATCTAATATTACACATTTTTAAAAAATAAAAAAAAATAAAAAATTAATAAGAAGAAAATAAATATTTTATTTTTTTAAAAAAATTCATTAAATTAATATACAAAAGAAAAAAAATGAACAATAGTTAATATAAACGCGTATTAAATTTAAATGGCGACCAATGTTCATTACCTTTAGAAGTTCTTTAAATAATAAAAGAAGAATGGTATAATGCATAAGGTACGGGAGTATCAATGTTAGAAATGTTTAATAAAAATCCTAAATTTTTATCCTTAATGTCTAAAGGTGAATAAGCTTTAAGAAAATACATGAGAATTCCAAACGAATTTAAAATATATACAATGGTAGGTGGATAAGCTGTTTAAGTAGCAGCAGTTCCCTTAAATTTATTAGGAAAAAAAGAATCCGCAGCCTATGTAATGAATGGCTATTGGAGTTAGAGAGCCATTGATGAGGCTAGAAAATACGTACCACATTTGAATATTGTCAGTTAAATTTACAAAAATGAACATGGAAAAATTACTTTATAGGGTCTTTAAAATATCGAAGAATAAAATGCTTATCTCTATTATGTTTCTGCGGATCCTTCAGAAGGATTCTAGTTTAAATAATAGCCAAAAAGAAGTCCAGGTGTAATTATGGTAGGTGATCTATCAGGTGATTTTTCAACCAGAAATATCCTTTGGTAAGATTTAGATGTTGCTTTTATAGCTAGTGAGTATTAATGTGGAATCGCTGGGTCTGTAGTATTGATTATTAGAGAAAATTTAATATAAAATCCACATCCTTAATGTCCATATATGCTAGATTATAATGTTTTAAAATAAACTGATGGAGTACCTAATACTGTACCTGTTTTTCCCATGTATGTGAATTGTTTAATGTATTAATTTGCAGAATAGAAATATTAAAATGTTGATTCTTTTGAGAAAATATTAGGAGGCTTTTCGGAAAAAATTTATGAGGTTTTGGAGAGTTATGGAGGAATTTATCAAATTTTGGTCGAAAAAGAATTTAGGTCTAATTGTTAGATTGTTTTTGGAGTCATTGGTGGAAAAAATAATGATGAGTTTATCTAGAAAGGATAAGATAAGGGAATTGTAGGACTTTTTAATAAACTAAATTCATAATATTTGAGGATTGGGTTAGGATTATAAAGTAGTTAGGAAAATGTGGAACAGATTTTGGGATTTTTAAGGGAATTTGCTTAAGATTATTAAATTAGAGAGGTTTAAAATTAAAATAATTAGAATATATGAATACTTTTTTATTATAATATTTTTTATATTTTTAATTGTTATTATTTATTTTATAAAAGATTTAAATAAATAATTAAGGTTTATAAAAATTATGTATATATTTATATTTTTATTAGCTTTTAATTAATTTATTTAGAATGTAATGTTATAATAAATTAAACAATTATTTAAAATTTTAATAACAAATAAAATTTATAATATAGTAAACTGAAAATTTTAATATTTAAAATATAGTTTAGATTATAAATAAAATTAATTTAATTAAAAAATAGAATTTTATTATTATATAAAAATAAAAAAAATCAGAATTATTAAAAAAATTAAAATTTAATATATTGAAAAAAAAATAAAAATAATAATATTATGGGTTTATTAAAAAAATAAAAATAACAATACAAAATATATTATTTTCTTTAATTTATAAAATTAAATTTATACATAATAAAAAAAAAATTAACATATAATTAAAAAGAAATGTAAATTATATTACTAATTTAAACTTAATAAAAAAAATATATTAAATAAAAAAAATGTTTGAATTTAAAAATAAATATATATTAGATAAAAATTTATATTAATTTAATATATATAAAATAATTTTTTTTAAAAAAATATATAAATAAAAAAAATATTTATAAAAATATCAAAATATAAATTATTATAAAAAAAAAATATTATATATATTTATGATATTTTTATTAATTAAAAAAAAAAAAATCAAATAAAAAATAAATAAATAAATAAATAAATAAATAAATATATATATATATATTTATTTTATATAATTAAAAAATTAATCTTTATTATTATTTTTATAATTTTTTTAAAATAGTAATTATTTATATAATTTTTCTTATATAAAAATATCATTTTTCAATATTTTTTTTTATTATTATTATTTTAATAATGTATTTATAGAATAAAATTTATTAAATAGCTTTTTATATTTAATTTTTTTTTTATTTTATATTATTTAATTTTATTTAAATTTATTTATTTTATACTTCAAATATTAAACTATAAATATTTATTATAATAATTTTATTTATATAATAAAAATAATAAGTATATTAATAATATTTATTAAGTATTTTATATAATTTATTTATATAAAATACATAAATTATATATTATTAAAAATAAAAGTAAATTCTAAATATATAATATTTAAATTTTTATATCTTTTCTCTATTTATTATATATTTAAAAAAAAAAAAAATATTAATTAATATAATTTATATAAAAAATAAAAAAATATCTTTTTTCCTTTTTAAAAATATTAATATATTAACATTTATTTAATATAAACTTAATTATTTATTTTTAATTTTAATTAATAATTTTTTTTGATTATATTTTTTATATCTTATAAATCATTTATCTGTTAATTTTGAATTTCAATTAATATTTTATAATATTTATTATTAAATACTAATTAAAGGAATACATATAAAAAATTATTAATAAATTACCTCCTTTTTACTATTTTTAAATTTAAATAATTATAAGATTAAACACTAAAATATTTTATTTTAAAATCAAATTTAATTAATTTATTTTATTTAAAATAAAATATAAAATATAAAATATAAAATTAAATTTATAATAATAATAATAATAATAATAATAATAATAAAAATAATATTAATAATGATTATAATTTTTATTATTAATTAATTTTATATAATTTTTATATTTTTAAATATATTTTTGAATATATTTTTAAACTTAAATAAATAATATATAATTATTTTTATTTAATATACTTTTGTTTAAAAATATTATTTGCTTATATTTTTTTTCTAATTTAAATTGATAATAAAATAATGTGTTTTATTTTTAATTATTTATTTTTTTATATCAAATTACATAAAAAATGAAAAAAATTATAAACTTTATTAATATAATAAACTTTAATTTAAATAAATAATTATAAAATAAATTAAATAATCAATTTTTTAAAAAATTTTATAATTAAATAAGAATAATAATAAAAAAAAACATATAATATATTAATATATTCAAATAAATGAAAGTTTATAATTTTATATTAAATTCAATAATCAATTTAACCCAAATAATGTCACAAAAACAATATAAATAAAAACATATTGATTCATTATTTATTATATTATAGTTTTTATTTTTTTTATATATATAAATATTCTATAGAAGTTTATATATTATTTAATTATTTAAATTTATTTAAAACACATGTTCTTTAGATATATATATAGAATTTGTCCTCAGAATATATTTTCGAAATATTTTTTCCTTTTTCAATCCATAAATACTTCAATTATTTTACTTGACTGGAATTTCAACTTTTAAAAAGCCTTATTTCCAAGAATGTTCAAAAAGCAGATTCACATTGCAAATAAATTATTTCTATCCAAAAAATATTTTTAATTAATTATATAAATATCTTTATATTCTTAAATAATTTCTTTTTTATTATTATTATAAACTAAAAAAACTGATTTTTTTTACAAAAATTAAATTAATATTCATATAAAACTTTAGTACTTTTGTGAAATTCAAAATGAATATATGCTATTCCTTCAATATTATTTAAATTATTTTCGCATATTTTCATATAATGTTTATTCTAATTTAATAAAGAATATATTAATATTAAAAACAAGAAAATAAATATAATTTTATTGAACATTTTTAAATTTAAATTAAAATTTTGAAAATTAATTAACAAAAACGTAAATTAAATAAAAAAACATTTAATATTTTTTAAGAAAATTATTAGATTATAATTAATACATATTTTAAGAAAATTAATTCTTTTTAATATTATTATTTTTTGAATATTGATATTATATTTTATTTAATTTATTAATACTTTAAATTTAATTTTAGTTTTATTCCTTTTCTAAAATATATATAAGAATATATATTAAAGATTAAAAATACAAGGGAAAGTTTTAAAGATTTACTTTTAATTTAAATATATTAATTAAATATATTATTTATTTTTTATTAATTATGTTTATTATATAACTCATATTTATATTTATATTATATAATATAATCAAGATTATTAATCGAAATGCTTTTTTATATATTTATTTAATGAATAAACTTTATTAATCGATTTTTTTTACTTTTAAATAAAATAATATCAAACAAATATTATAATATTTAATGATTTTTTGATAATTTTTCATATTAAAATTAGATATTTTTTCTTTTTTTATTTTAAAATTCTATTAAAATAAAAATTTATAAATAAAAAAGACATTTAATAATTAGAATTTACTACATATATTTAATTATTTATCTAAAAAATCTGCTATATTTGACATTTATTAACTTAAAAAAATAAAAAAAATTGAGAAATAAAAAAATAATATATATATTAAATAAAAGATGATATAAAATAAAATAACTATAAATATAAATAAATTAATATTATATAAAGTTTTATTTATTATAAAATTAAAAGATATACATATATATATATATATATTAAATATAAATATTAATAATTTATTAACTTTTTTAAAAATAAAATAAAAATATATATTAAAATTTATTTATCATATAAAATAATATATTAATTGTTTATTTATAATTATCAAAATATATTTTTGTTTCATAAAATAATTATTCTTTTTTTTTTAATAAATATTATTTGATAATCATTAATTTTATAATACTAAATTTATATATTAATTAATTAACCAATAAATATAAT